GTAATTCCGGTTGGGAAGAATAGGGTTTAACGCTGTGATGTGGTAAGGGCGAGGCCCCGCGTCTGTTGAACTGTTTCGCGTAGCCTCTGCTTGGTATGTGGTGGACAATTGCCTCTCCACTTAACTAAGCTGATTCCTTTCTTCGTCCGAAGTCTTTAGAATAGCGGGAGTAGAGATAGAGGTAGGCGCAGGTTGATGTCTGTTGAGACAGGGTGCCACTGTAGAGATTGTTTTGATTACTCAGTCCCGGTGAAAATTGGACATCGAGGATAACATATTTGCGTCCGGAAAACTGGCTAAAGTTAAGTTCAAGTGGAGTAGTAAAGAAGATGTCACCAAAGATGACTTGCTGGGTCAGGAGGTGGCGTGTAACGGGGAAGGGAAGATGGTGTTAGGCAGCCCGCCCAAGCCTTTCTTACTTTGACCTTAGGAGCTAGGATAAGGATACTACTTGGGTAAGAATCTCACTTTTTAGACCAAGTTAATCCTTCCTACTCTCCCATTCTGGCCTCGGTCTCCCTGCTAAGCATTTGGGTCCTGGGAAATTTCCCTGTTTGGCAAAATTTAGAGCTACTCTATTGTTTTCTTAAAGTCCGTGAGCTGACAGATTCTAATTAAAAGGGTAAAGGTGAGTTCCAAACAAGGATATAACAAAGGTGCCTCTTTGCCTGTCCTGCAGGAAAGGGAGAAAGCTGTAAGAAACTTTCTTACTCTGTCTCAGCTATCTGGTTAATCATCTCAACTAGCTGAGTCACCTTCAGAAAATTAATCTGCAAGAGCTTTTTAATTAAAATGGCTATTTAATACAGGTAAAATTTTCTAGAAAAAAATGAAAGGTTTCTGGTAAAAAGTGTTTCCTAGTTAATTAACAGATTAAAAGTAGATAGAAGTCAAGCTTAATCTGCAATCTTAAACTGTTTTCTCAAATTCAAAGAATTTGAGGTAGAATCTTGTGCCCTAATGAAAGTTCATGGGCTCACCCTGTAGCAGAGGGTCTTTAATTTGTGGAACAAAGTCTTGTATGCTTGGGTGCACCCATGTGCACGTATCTGTTTGAGAACACATCTGTACTTAAGAGATCAGTATGGTACAAAAATAGACATACACGTTTTTGGAAAAGTATCAGTACTTGATTTATAAAGGAATATAAAAGAAAATCAGGAAAATCAAGATGTTAAGATCTCTGGTAGCTAGCTTCCAGGCTAACCCCTAATGATTCTTGTCTCTAGAATCACTCTCCTCCCGCCCTTTGAATCACAGCTACTCTGTTGGACCTGTAGAACAGAGGTCCCCACCCCTCAGGCCTCAGACTGGTAACGTCAGTGACCTGTTGGGAACCAGAACGCACAGCAGGAGGTGAGCGGTGGGATAGCGAGCAAGGTTTCATCTGTATTTGCAGCCGCTTCCCAGCGCTAGCATCACCGCCTCAGCTCCACCTCAGATCATCAGACGTTAGATTCTCATAGGAGCACCAGTCCCTGGCGCCAAAAAGGGTTGGGAACTGCTGCTGAAGAGTACAGCTGAAGGTGTATGATTTCTGAGACTAAGCCATAAAGGCAATGATTGCAGCTTTCCACCTCATTCTCTTGGATTGCTTGCTCTAGGGGAATTAGTCTCCATACCACTTCACTTGGGCAGTTCTAAGAGGCCCATGTGGGAAGGAACAAAAGCCTCCAACAGGCAACCCGCACCAACTTGCCAGCCCTGTGAGTGAACTACCGTGATTGGGTTGGTCCTGCAATCCCAATCAAGCATCCTATAGACTGCATACGGGCTCAACATCTGCTTGTGATCTCATGAGAGAAAGGGGCAGCTCTTCTGATTATATGAAACAGTTTAAAAGGAGTCCAGCTCATATCATTGTCTATCTCAGAAATTGTTTCATTGTAAGTGAAATAGGATCCTGTTTTGGAACCCACAGCTAAGAATACCTGGTGCTAAACTTCCCTCCCCATAGCTAAGAATACCTGGTACTAAACTTCCTTCCCCTAACCCATTGTATATTTGAAGAAGCACGGGCTTTTGGAGTTTCTCCCTTTTCCACTTGGCCTGCTGAGAGGTACCAGGTAAGAAAATCAGTGCTACCACCACCATTATCCTCTTCATATAACGGGAAGATAGGAACAAGTGAAAGTTACCTTTTTGGGGCGAATGCAGTGTTCTAGAGAGAGGGTATTCTCTCGCCTTATGCTATGAAGGAGGGTAGGGAATTTTCCCTTTCCCCAAGACTAGGGTGGGAGTCACCAAAAGAATAGTTCATAAAAGTAGGGTTGCTTGAACTGTCTGAACCATATCCTGCTTCAATAAATTGAGAATTGGTGATTGCCTCCAGTCTAAAAGTTGCCATTGACCTGAAGCTGCTAGGGAATAGTAAGAGAGACATGAGAGGGAGTAGGTAAAGCTAAGAGAGTGAGGTGTCAGCTGAGTTGTGAGGCAGCCTGCATTTTTACTCTTTGGAATGGTAAAAAGTTTCCCAAAAGCCAATGGTATAGCAGGCCCTAGACAACTGCTCTATCACCACACGTGCACAAATGCACATTCAATGCATACCCACACCAGCTATATATTATTTCTAGTTCAAGCAGTCAAAAGAAACTCCATTTGTTAAATTAAAAATATTATCTTTTAAAGGTACATAGTAATGTATTTACAGATGAAATAAGAGTCTTAGGATTTGCCTCAAATCTTCTAGTAGTAGGGGTTGTGGAAGTGGCCATATATGTTATATTGTTGAAGCTAAGTTTTGTTATACTATTTCCTCTATGTTAATTTGAAAACTTTAATACTAAAGAAAGGGTTTTTTTGGCATAAAAACCTTTTGTAAAAAAAATCAATTTAACCAACCACAGTTTGTAGACTTTATTTGGATCCCTATTTGAAAAAACTATAAGTCATAAGACAATCGGGAAGATGTGAACACTAATTGGATCTTTGCCAATATTAAACACTGTCTATTAATTTTTTCTGTATGGTAATGCTATTGTGGCTAGCTTAAAAATAGAGTACTTTTAGAGACAAAGTATTATAGATTAAATATAATGTTTGGAATTTGCTTCAAAATAATCAGAAAAAGGAAAATGGATGGTGATACAGATGAAAGAAGATGGACCATTATCAATACAGACTGACCATGTATTGATCGTTTTTGAAACTGGATTATTATCATTTATTATATTTTTCTCTTTACTTTTATAAAAATTGATCCATAATTTATATTTTCTCAACAACATGTTTATTTTTAGGTGTTTTTCATATCAATGCATGATATTTTAAAATTTAACCTTGTTTTTTACTCCTTTATGAAGAGTTTATTGTTGATTATTCTAATAAGCAAGAGTTCAAGATATTACATTATGTCTAAAGATCACTAACTGAATCAGAAGTTTTAGAAGTTTCCAACAGTTCTTCAGAAGGTCCATGTTGCAACAAATACAATTCTTTCCATGTACCTATTAAACTTACGTTATCAGTAATTAGTGGTGTGCTGGAGCCCACTCATACTTGCTCTATCCTAATGAGAGCCAATTGTGCCTATCTCTTCCCAACTTCAAGTTCAGTGATATCACATTGGTAGCTTGAAATTGGCACAGTAGGAATAGTTACACCATGGAAATTGGCAAATGCTATAAATCAAGGGCTACACCCTCCACTTGTTAAACATTTACCATAACAATACTGCCAATAATTTCCTTCTTGCCATATGAAGTAGATATTTATTAGGCATTCATAGCGCTACTCACATGAAGGTGCCCCACTTGAAGGAAGTTACATATACTAAAGACTAAATTTTACGAAAGTATTAAAAGAAATACTGATTATTTACACTGCAAAAATGTTTTTAATGTAAAATAATTCTCTGTTACTATTATTATTATTATTATTATACATAATTGTCCCAAAGTGGAAAGTATCTAAATATTCTTTAAAAGATAAATGGATAAATAAACTATGGTTCATCAACAGTGAAATACACAGCAATGAACAGGAATAAATTATTGATACACAACAGTTGATACACACAAATCTCAAATGCATTGTGTTGAGTGAAAGAATCCAGTATCAAAAGGTTACATACTGTATGATTCAATTTATATGACATTCTGAAAAAAGCATAAATATAGGAACAGATATAATCCACACAGTGACTGCCAAGAATAGGTGTGGAAAAAGGTCTAAAGACAAAAGGAGGGCAGCAGGAGGGAATTCCTTCAGGTGTTGAATTGTTTTGTAACCTATATTTGGTGATGGTTATAAGAATCTAGGTCCAGTGAGGAAACATGGTGGAGTGAGAGATGTCCTCAGATCTCTCCCCCTGAAACAACAATAAGCCGAATATCTAAAACTCAACAACAACAAAAAAAACCACCAAAACTGCACTCCAGCATGTCTGAGCATGGGATCTGTGCATAAGAGCTACTACAGCTCAGAACCCCGGATGTCCAGCGGTAGACTCGGACCTGCCTCTTGCAGCTTCCAGAGCTCCTTGCAGGAGGAGGGGGAGGAGTGAAGGTGCAATGACTGCCCTGATCAGCCTGCCTGGAAGTGCTAGAACTTCTAGTAACCAGTAGCCGGGCCCAGTCATCAGGGCAGAAAGCAGAGAAGTGGGATGAGACAGCAGAGAAATAACAGATGATTTTTACCATCCCCAGTTCCAAATCCAAGGCTGAGCTGCAGACCCCAATCCCCAACACAGAGGGCCCCTCCCCACATATCCTCTGAGACTGAACACCATGGAGCCCCAGAGGAATCTTAGCAAAAGCTGCCAAGACTAAACCTACCTCTCACAGCTTCTGGAGCTCCCTGCAGGAGGAGGGGAAGGGGAGAAGGTTTAGTGACTTCCCTGATCTGCCTTCCTGGAAGTACTAGAACTTCTAGTGCCGGCACCAGGCCCAGCCATCAAGGTAGAAAGCAGAGAAGTGGGACGGGATCACAAA